TCTCTCTCTCTCTCTACGTGCGTTTTCCTGCTCATGTTTTTTTCCAAAGATTCTTATTCTCGATCAAAAAGCATCTGCCCCTTGGTCACAACCAAGAACTCGTGTCAGGTTTTGCGAGGTATTGCCGCGTTTCCTCGACAGCTAAGTCCGCCAACAGTTCTGGAGAGCTGGCCACTGTGAGCGTGCGCTGTTTTAATGGATTAAGTTATATTCAATACAGCAAAATATATAGCACAGGAGGAAAGAAATAATACAATAAAATTAAACAGGGGGTGGAGTTGTGAAAGTTGTGATGTTGTAAGGTGTTGCATTCTTTGTGGCTGGTATGTAGATTTTGGAATTATGTATTAACAGCTGAATTAACCAGAGCTTAAGAAAAAGAAGAACACTCTGAGTCAAAGAAGGCTTGGGTTACCAAGGATGTCCAGCTGCACAATGATGTCACATCATTTCATATTCCAGCTGTTTGTTGCCAAGGAGTTGGTCACTTTGCAGCAGGACACGTATTAGAGGTTCTCAGTACTGTACTGTACAACTTTGTCTACACTCTGCATGTTTTAGATGACATTCAGAGACTCAGAGTCTGGCAAAGACTCTTTTGGCCCTGTCATTGATTCTGACTAATTCGCTCACATTCAGGTACTTTCAGCGATCAGAACAAAACAAAACAATGACACGTGTTTAACTACTATTCTTCCTCCCACAAGTTTGTGGCAGGATGCGCGTGGAGAGGAAGCTGTCATTGTGATGGAGAATAAAGTCCGCATTGGAGGCCACATTAGCAATGACAAAGTTCGACAGAGTGAACATGAATCAGCTGGCCAGATGAGGAACGCCCATGACCGCAACAAAGACAGAAACAAGGTCTGTTTCCAAGATGAGGCAGGTAATGAAGTGTTCCATCCATGCCTTTGGTGTCAGCACTGTTTTTGTTTTTTGAGGTTTGCAGTTGGCCTATTCGGATTCGCCAAGTATTATCCAGTGAACATTGATGACTCAATAACAAAAAACACCTGGAACAAATTGGAACAAGAGATATATATATATATATATATACAATATATATGCTACTATCACGGATAGCTTTTAACATTGACATTGATACACCTGAGAAGGGAGGGGGGCGAAAGCCAGCCACCGCAAGGATACGCTTAAGTATGGTGATGCGAGATCCCTGGTGAGCTCCCCACCTCTTTTCCTATCACCCTCTATTCCTATCGCGTCCTCCTCCGCATGCCTGTCTCATCCACATGAACTCCCACCCCATATGGGGTGCCCTCTTGAGTCTGGCTACTAGGCCTCCTCACCGTCAAAAAAGGGCACCCCGAAGCCACTCAAAGCTTGCCCGCTGCAATCTGTTTTCTCTCCTGCCCTCAACGGACCGCATCATTACATGAACTCGCTCCTGAGCCCATCATGATGCTAATTCGCCGTCAATTACATCACTTGCATCACAACACCCTAAAAACAATACATGTTCCAATCGTGTCCGCTTTTTTCGTTCTCCCCACCAGGCTCTGGCCGTGTGCGACCACCCCCCCACACCCCCTTTACTAACTTCGCTCGCCCAACCCAACTTCAGCCCAGCCTATCGGCTGGCTTTCGTGATTAACTTACATAACAGAAAAACCAACATGTGTCCAAAATTGGTATCACAGACACCGATGCTGATACCCAGTAACGTTGCTGTTCAGGATACTCACAGGCAGGCAGTCTTGAAGGCTTCAAAAATGGAAGCCTCAAACGATGAGATTGTTGAGCACAAGGACGAAGTGTCGGAATCAGATTCGGAGGACAAAGTGAAGCGCCAGAGAACAACCAAGCCTGGAGGGCCGGAGAACTCCCCAGTGACGCCAAATTCAGACACTCCAGGTTCAGCACCTTCGGCCCCTTCGGCCCCTTCAGCTCCAGCCTCTGCCAAAGCAACAGCTGGAAAGCGCAAGAATGCTGCGCAACCTCCTCCTGCAGCACTGGATGCTTACAGCCCTTTGCACTTCTGGCAAGGCTCCCTGAAAGCAAAGGACATTGACAAGAGGCTCAGTCTTGCTTTTCAAGCCCATGCAGCCCTGGAGGAGCACATTCCTGAGCGTCCTGACGTTCAAGATGTTACAAAGAAGCTCAGTGATGCCGCTCTAAGGGTGGCTGAGTGGCTGGATTGCATTATATACTCCACTTTGGGATGCGGAGTCGTGCGTGCGGAATGTCAAGAGCATGGATCATGTGGACTTTCTGAAAATTGCCAAAAGAATCCCTCCAGACTGCATGCATTCAATGCTTGTGGATATTGGGAAACGCATCTGGCAGGAGAGGGGTTCCTTCTACGTTTTCCTTGGAATGGCAGAAGGACTAAATGATGCTTCAGAATGACAATAACATTTGACATTGAGACGAGGGTGGGGTGACACACTATACTATACTATACTAAGTCAGGGAATTGGACACAGGTCACACGATGAGTCAAAAGTTATACAACTAAAACAAAAACTAGACTAAACATGACTAAACTAGAGGCCCTATGATATGAATAATAGGCGCGTATGACTCTATGACATTTCAAAACGACCCCAAACATAACTGCTACTGCTACTGAGTATTGTCACTCCAATTCCATGGTAATGGCTTTGGAGTTTACAGCGTACATGTTATTTACTATTCCATTTGCAGGAGTCAAGCAGCAACACATCGTCGAATGACAGCGCAGATTTTTCAACTTCCTGGCACTCACTGACAGAGCTGAGACCCAGCAAGGCCTCTCCCTGCAGAGGCTGTCCAAGAACCTCGAGTGTGCAATGAAGGAACCAGGCTCCTTGCAGGTTCAAGGACCCTTCTGACCTATTTTCTGGAGCAAGCCCAGAAAAGTCATAATGCCGAGCACTATGTTTCAAGTATGCCTGATTCCTTTTGGCATCCAGATTTGCTCAGGACCGCGCCATTAGCAGTAGGTGACAGTTTCCAAAAGGTTCTTTTGATGAAGTTATGATTCATGAAACTGCACCTCACCTCTGCTTCAGCCTCCCAGGAAGTCAGGCCAAGCGACGAGACTCTGCGAAAACTCAATGCAATCTCTTTGAGCGATGATATGATCTATGGTCGCTATGGTCCAATATCATGATTATACCAAACTCGTGTTCAGCTGATATTCAGCCCACATTCCATTCACGTTGTTACAGAACAAATCCAGATTCCTTAATTGCGCAGGAAGATCAATGACCCTGTGACTGGTCCCTTGACGTTGCAGCTGCCCAAACCTGAAGGTGAAGAAGAAGAAAAAGAAGAAGTGCCAAATCACTCTGGCATTTCTACGAAGTTCCTTGTAGACTTACAGCGGTTTGTGGCACGCAAAAAAGGTTCTGCAACAGGACCACCTCGTGAACAGCAGCCGAGCTCAAGCTGGTGATTGCCCGGACCAAGATCATGTCCCCGAAGCTCAACTTGATGTTCCGCGCCAACCAGAACTTGAGGCTCCAACCCAAAAGCGTGTATTGTATTTGTATTTGCTTGACATTCATTCATTCATTCGTTCATTCATTCATACATTCGGTGATTTGAATTGAGACGAAGCAAATATTGCAAAGTTTATTATGATTACTATACCCGAAATTTCAGAAAGTTTGCCAGGGAATGAATTTGAGACAGGAGACATGAGACTATAGACTATAACAAAATTGTGTTTAAATTTATCCGTTGGCTTGGAGGAACTTCTGGAGTGGAGTGGTGGACATTGGGAAGCAGCAGGTCGACATTGAGGCTGCCCTTGACCTCAGCAACAAGGCCAAGATCAACTTGCAGCGCTTGATTGACTTGCTGAAGAACCAAGAGGATCCTGCGACAAATATCAGCTTGGAGAAGGTCATGCCTCCCATTGACAAGTGCTCTCGTCTTCAGTCTGTGCTGTTTGCCTTGAATAATTTCCAGAAGGAGGAGCACGCACAGGCAGTGCATGACCTCACAGAGTTGTCGACCAATCTCAGCAAGTCCTTGGACGAACATCAGTGGGGCAAATTCAACTTGACAGATTTCTTGCAAGGCTTGTTCCACGAAGGCGTCCAAGTGAAGTTCAACAAGACTATGACTGGATCTCAAATCGGGAGGTCAATCAGTGAAGCCTGATTTTGAAGTCAAGAACTTCAGAACGCTGTTAGAAAGGTTCATGCTCGTATTCTACAATGAACCACACTGGCATTGACATTGATCATCTTTTTGGTTTGGCAGGATAGGTGATAGGATGTGTACTCAATCAGATTTGAACTGATTTGTCATGTGAAGCCATGTGAGTCATTTGTCTCGCAATTCAACATGTCGATTTGGCCTTGCAGGCACTGTTGCCACCCGGGTCTTCAAAATGGAGGATGATGTCACCATGGAGTTTGCAGAACGCACCCCAGAAGATGAAGATGTCCCGTTCCGAATGTGTGTGACTTGCCCGTGGCCATGAACACCCAAAAGCAGTGGAAATTGGCTATCCACTGCAAAGTCCACTGCAGTTGCCTTGAGAAACCAGATGGGGACCTACTACGGTCACAAATTGGCCTATGAGACATGGAAGGCACACGGTCCTGATGAGGTTGTCCAACTTTTTGGAGGCTGTAAACTGTAAAGTCCTTCCTTCAGAGATCAAGCCCATCCTGAATTTGGCAAAGAATTCCGGCGTCCTAGAAGATCCGAAGATCTGTGACCCAAATTTGATGCGTACTGTGGCCATTTTGTCACTGGACATGGACGTGGAGAAGTTCTACTCAATCAAGAAGGTTAAAGAGGTGAAGCGCTTCCAAGCTGGCGGTTCTTTCCATCCACTGTGGATTCTTCTTCAGGTGGCGTTCCAATTTCGATTTCACCCTTAGGCTACCCACGTTCCAGAATCCTTCAGTGAATGTCTCCTTCAATCGCCTTCAATTGGGCCACGCTAGGCCTTTGCCTGCGGCTGTGGAGACGGAACTTGAGAGCATGTGGATGAGACAAACGACGAGACAAACGAGGTCAAGACTGAGGCTGCACTCAAGAGCATGCCTTGACATGGCGCCGTGACCACCAAATCATGGAAGACGTCTTGCGGACTTTGGAGAGCATCCACTGCGAGCCAAAATCGTCAGTGTGTTGAAGGACACTGAGGACTGCTGCAACTGGTGGATCAAGCATTAACGTAACGTAAAAACACATTCAGAATGCTGGAAAATAAGGTTGACGTACTTTTTTGGACGACATATCACATATGACACATTACTGCATGTTGTTTTGTGGTGGACAAATGGGGGACGTTGACATGTGAAATGGGTTTATGATGTGGGCAGTCAACATTTTACAACATGTTGAACGTTTGGGTTAAGTTCTAATTGTTCAGCTCAATTGCCAGAGAATTTCGAGAATTTGAATGTGTGTTGTGTAGTTCTGCATTTGCATTTTGCAGTCAGGCACTTCGGAGCAGCATTGGAAACATTGCCATCTCTCTCATTGTGACTGACTTGCTGGTTCATGCAGACGAGAATGAGGACAAACTTGCCGGGGTAAGGAAAGTGTGCAACATGTTGGCTCAGGAGCTTGGCCACACCCGGGCAGACCTCCCTGACATACTCCAGCAAAAGTTGGAGGAGTTTCAGAAGTCAGGTGATGCAGCAGCGTACCTGGGCGTACCTCAACTGCAGACTCCAGATTTGAGGCACACCAGGTTGAACAGGTCAAACATTGAGATGAAACTTATTTGTGGGCCTGTGGGTTTTTCATGCTCAATTGTGTGGTTTATTCTTAATTTGTGCAGTGAGTCTTGTTGCTCTCAATCAGGTTGACAATTGGTTTCTTGGTTTTCGAGGAAAGGTAAACAATTACAAGAAACAAGCCAAGGCCGAAGAGAGCTGCCAAAAGAGCCAAAGGCAAAGGCCAAGTAGAAATGGACTGTGGTTTTGACACGACCTCAATCTTGGGGCCCCGGATCATGACCCTGGACCTTGCAGTTTAATTTTGGGTCTGGATCTTGTGGCACGTGCTCCTTCGGGCTCCGGGATGGACTAGTCTCTTTTCGAGCAAGGGAAGGCTCCAATCACCCACAACAGCTCAATGTCAAGCCAGCCAAAACTGTGATCACAAGACCCCACTGGAAGTTCAAAGCGTATGTAGAAGTAGAAGCCAACCCATCTTCCACCTGAATCTTCAAAGTCTCCGTCAGAGCCCACCCCACCACCTTCTCCAGTGATCAGGTCGATACCGTGAAAATGCCCCAACCGTAAACCCTCCAATGTGTACGCGAAGCCGCTGCATTTTTGTCAACGGAGGGTTGCTTGACAAAAACCACAATAGGGAGACATGGCAGCCTCTGTCGACTACAACCCGCCTTTGGAAGGTGTGTGGCCTTGTTCTCCTCCTGTCGCTGCGCGCGTCCAAGGTGCTGACCCTCCCGCAAGGAACATGAAAATTTAGCGACCCAAAAACCATGCCAAAAGCAATGCGCACAGCGTGGCCTGGTTCTTCTCCTGGCAATGCACTGATCCTTCTGGAAAGGAAGGGTTTGGGAACTCAGAATGAAAAACGCGACACCGTTCCTGAACAATCTGAGCCGTGCTGCCCTTGCTGCCCTTAAGCTCTGGAACGCCTTGCTCCTGGGAAAACATTTGG